CCGCAAACTGTAACGTTTCTGAATGTGTCTCTTTATGGGGCCAGTACCCCCCCCCTTTCCGTCACCTCCCCAAAAACCTCAGCAATGTGACGAGCGGCTGTCCGATGGCCGGCCCTCGACCACCATTGTGTCCCCGCTGCGGGGGCCACAAGCTCAGCTCGGAGCGCACAGCCTCGCGGCCGGGAGCAGTTTTTGGCCGCGGTTTTGACAGTACAGAGCGTGCAACGGCACGGCCAGGCCGCGAACGCGATGCTCAATCTCTCACGGCCCTGACCCGTCTGTCCGCACATGGGAGCGCCTTGCGGTCCCTTCTCGAAGCTGACTTGAGCCAGCGTCCATCGCACAAACATGTCAAAGCAAAAAAATAATAAAAAAAAACAACAAAAAAACAAACAAACAAAGGAAACGGGACGTTTATACCTAGGGTTGGAAGCCCTGGAAAATTTTAGGAAATTTTCAGGAAAATTTCAAAAGAATAAAAAATAAATGGAGAATTTCCCAGACTTGGAACTTTTCCGTAACTTTTCGGAAATTTTTCGGAAAAATTTAGGAAAATTTCGGAAATTTCCAACCCTATTTATACCGCTCAAACCGCATAGCAGCTTAGCTGTAACAGCGCGAACAGCACAAATAAATGAGGAATGCGTGAGATAAGGCGATTAGGTTTGGGGGTTTATTTTTCATTCTGCTCTGTCTCTGTCTCTCTCCGTCTCTGTCTCTCTCTGTCTCTCTCTGTCTCTCTCTCTCTGTCTCTCTCTCTCTCTCTTTATAGCCCTGGGCGCTGATTAAGGCAGATGGGATCGCGAGCCGTCCATCAGTATACTTACCTGCACATTGCGGGCCGGCTCCGAGCGCGCGGCGGCTAACTGGAGCAGAAAGGCCAGTGTCTCTCTCGTCTATTGTGTTTGCAAATTCGCCGTCAGCCTTCGGAGGAGACTCGACTCCCGCCGCCCGACTCTCGACTCCCCTTGCTCTGGCCGACACGGCGTCGTACTGAAAATATTCGATCATGTCGTACATTTTCGCCTCTGTTGCTCATTGACAACAAATGCGAGATTCCCCATACAAACGCTGGCGAAAAACTTGACGTGGCCTCCCCTAGGCCGCTGGACTAGCACTTCTTCTAGTGGGTGCCCCCGCGGCTCTGCGCCCGCGCGGACAGTGAGTCGTTGGGCCCCGCAGAGTGACAGGCCGGGCCGAGGGGAGACACTTGTAGGGCGGCGGCGCAGAATGCGGCCGGCACTCTCTCACGGCAGGCAGGCCCGCGAACTGGAGCTCCCCTTGCTGCCGCTTTACCGTGCAGCTGCAGGCCGCCAGCCGATATTCTCCATTTTCCGCGCCCAACGAACCGCGGCGCGGTCCCACCTCACCCCGCCCCACGCCCCGTCCCCCGCCCCGCCCCGGGATCTGGACGCCGCGGACCGCCGAGGAGATCTCCTCCGCGACGTCCCCGTGGCCTCCTTGACCGACTGCCCTGCGGATGACGTGTGCGGTGGACACGTACCCCTGGACTGTACCCGTGTTACGGTTCCAGCAGCGTTTTATCACGTTGGGTTGGTCGCAAAGGTTTATCGTTTCATTTCATTCCCTTAATTGTTATTGTTAACAACTGTCGTTGTTGCTGCTTTTGGTCGCAGAGATTCTCTCCGGGCACCAGGAGTCACTGCTCGCTGGAGGTCCCTCTCAGGTGCACTTCGCGATGCTGGAGGCTTGGTGTCCAGCGGTGGCGTTTCGGCGCCTCCTGCGGGGCGGCCGCGGGGCACTCCTGCCCGCCCGCCTGCCTCCGGCGGGTGATGCAAGGCGTACTCAGTCAGCACTCTCTCGCTTGGGAAAGCAAACGCCCCTTCCGTCAAATTTTAACGATCAGAGGGGTTATTATACACGCCCCGTTAAGACCAAGCTTCAGCGGCGCAGGGTGCGCCGTGATCATGGTTTTGCGTCTCGATGCCAGAGGGTATTTCATCGAGTAGAAGTATCGGCGCTAAAACACCACATCATTGCATCAAATCTCTCTGAGGCAAAAAAAAACACAAAACGAAACAAAAGATTTTTGCAAGGGCGCAACAGCGGACGACCCACACCAACCGTAGAACTGTCCTCGAGTACGAACCGGTTGTCTCTGCAGTAAAAGTTGCGTGCATACACCAGGTATAGGTATCGTCTGGAGGAACACGTTTTTATAGAGGGTCGTGGGCAATGTGCGCGATGGGACCGGAAAAGTATGGAAGGGGGGTGTTAAAAGGTAGTCGCGCGGGGAAAACCGACCGGAGTGGTGAGTGGTGCCGTTGAATTGGATGTACGAAAAGCGAATGAGCAACTGTCTCAGTGTTATGGATGATTAGTGAAACTTTGACATATTTCATAAACTATTTTTAGTGTTGGACAAGTGCGGTGTGACTCAGAGCCGTGTGCAATTTTCCGCTCCGGGTCACCGCGATATGAGGAGGACTTTTTCATCATTTCTGTGCGTTTCTGTGCTTCCCGAACAGGAAAAGTGGGGACCGCGACGACGGGCGTCTCCTCCTCCTCTCTGCTGCGAGGTGGTGGTGGGGGCGGCGCGGGGCGGCGGCGCAGCGGCGGCGCGGTGTGGCACCGGCTGGACCGCAGTGCGCTCGCGGCAGCGGCCGGCTCCGGAGGTGCACCGGAAAGTGACCGGAAGTGGACCGGAAGTCGACCGGACGCCGAGCAGCATCAGCAGCGATGCTGATCGAGAACAACGCCCCGACCCACACGCCCGCCCTGGCCAGCGCCGAGGACCCCAAGATGAAGGACGTCGCCCTGCCGCCGCCGCTGCCCGAAGTGAACGGCAACCGGACCAAGGTGAGTCCCAAACAGCGTCCTGCAAGTGGCGAAAACTCTCGGAAAAACTTACCGTGGGGTTATCGTCGGAGAATTAAAAAAAACATAACAGAGAATATAGAGAGATTTCGAATGCGACTCAAATATCGCGCCGGTTCAAGTGCGAGTTCAAGTAGTGTTCATTTCCACACAAAATACTATGTAGTTACTAGGCAAATTTTCTTGTAAAACCTTTGGAAATGCACTGGGAAAGAATTATTACAAATGTGCCGACAGTTTTGAACCGGTTTTGAATTCTTCCCAAGCAGAAGTGTTCCACCTGCCACACTAATTATTTGTGTGGTGTGACGCAAACGAGGAAAAATGTATACGACGCGCCTATAGTCGTATAAGACAATTTGCTGACTACTTTGTGGCATGCCTTGTTGCCAAAGTGTTTGCCGAGCTGCATTTACCCGCCTGTCCCTCTTTGTCCCAATCGCAAACCCTGTCCCGTCCAACCCCCTCGTGACCACGGGGACAGCGTGGGCGGACAGCCGCAAGCTCTTCACCTCACCTCCCTCTTCCGTGCCGTGCCAGCCCGTAAGTGCACAATCTTCCCTAATCACAACTTCTATTGGCCGTAATTTGTCAAGGAAGAGGTCGCCAGTACCGGCCGGCCTGCAACGACGCGGCGGCCGCACACGGCCAGCGGGGGATACCTAATGTGCTTAATTTTCTCATCGTCATGCCGCACTTGATTTGGACGTCCGGGGGAAGACAAATTTTTAATTGAAAATCTACCGAGAAATGGAAATGGTCCAGAAAGAAGAAATGTATCGAAAAGAAGAAATGTGCCTGAAGTTGAAATTTACCAAAAAGTACAAATGTGCCAGAAAGTAGAAATGTGCCAGAAAGTAGGAATGCACCGAAAAGTAGAAATGTACCGAAAAGTCGTAATGAAACATAATGCTAGTGATGTGAGGTGACGTGAGGTGCAGGTGAAGTGCGCGGTGAGGTGATGTGTAGGCGAGGTGAGTGCCTTCGTGGAGATGATGATGTAGTGCGTGCGAGTGAGCGAGTACACTCACACACACACACACACACACACACACCTCACATGCAGGAGGCTACTGTACCAGTGAGGGGACGGGGGAGGAGGGGGACGGGAGTCTGCCAAAGGCGAAAACGAGCAATGAAACAACCGTCGAGAGCGAAGAATTAAAAAAGATAAAAAAAGAAAAAGCCCGCGTCGTTCGCGTTTTCGTCTCTCTCCGTCGGCCGGGCTCGTTAAGGAGAGCGAGCGAGACAGCCGAGGCTTGTTGGCGGAAGCGCTGTGCCGGGGGAGAACCTTGACCTCCAAGGCCCGGCTCGGCTCGGCCCAGAGGGCTCTCCGGCTGCAGCAGGCCGGGCCGCCGGGCTCGACTCGACTCGGTTCGGCTCTGCAGTCGTTCGTTGGATATTCTAATCGACGTGGACGTGATTCCCGGCGATGCCGGCGACCGGGCTCTCGCCTGCACCGCCCCGGGTTGGGTAGTCTGGCGGCAGCCGCGTGCGGGTGTGCAGCAAGTGTGCTGTGCCGGTGCGACGAGTTGTTGTTGCGAGCCCCACCGCGATGTCCGACCCGGCCGGCCCGGTGAGTACACGCGTCGTCGGACGGCGACCAGGACGACGACGACGACGACAACAACTACTTGAACGGGCCGACGACGCACGAAAGAGTTCGCGCGTGTCGCGAAACTGTTTTGCGCGGCAGAGGCCGCGTATTTAGTCCCGATGGCGTGTCATAAATAAGACAAAAGACCGATTATACGACCTGGAAAAGTACCTCCGCGAAAAATAAGAGTGGCCATTATACCTCCGCTGATCTTACACATTTTATTTTTCTGTTTGTCCTTTTTTTTTGGTACGTGCTGGTATACAACTTTTAGCAGCCAATCGTGTGCACAAACTCTTTTTATCGTGCCCGGCTTAAACACTTTTGCGACGATCCAGCAGCCCCGCTCTCACCTGCTCATAGTGAGTGTTGTTGCCGTACACCGCATTTAAAAAGCCGGCGGCGGCGGCGCGGGCAGGGCATATCCCCCGATATATCGTTTCTCCCTCTTCGATATAATCGTACGGAAATCAGCGAAAGTGCCGCTCGCCGAAGCGAGCGCAGCGAGCGAGTGGGCCCGCCCTGCGCTCTAACAAGCCCCGAGCTCAGCCTGCACGCGTACGAAATTGATCCTTTAGAATTGGACCAACATCGCGGTGTGTAAGTGTGGGTCTCGGCTCGGCTCTGCCCAGCTCGGCAGCGAGCGACGCACCGGCGGAATCCCGAGCGTTTCGATGTGATGTCGGGGGAAACCTAACCCACTTTGAACGGGAGAAAGAAGACAGACACGTAAAGAGAGAGAGGGAGAGAGAGAGAGAGAGAGACGGCGGGACACACCGCGGCGCGAAAGACCTCTCTATGGAGGAGTGGGACAAAAGCCGCGGGACGACACTCGATAGGAAGGAAAGGACAGCGAGCGAGAGAAAAGAGAAAGGTCGATCGAGAGCTGCGCCCGCAGCCGTCGACGGTTCTCTGCGACAGGATTCGCGAGGAATTTTAAAATAAATAAAAAAAATTAATGTGAAGGGGGGAAAATAGAAGAAACAACGGACGAAACGCGTTGAGCGGCAGTAGTTTTATACTGCGTTCCTACAGAATCTGCGTTCCGAACAAAACAAACGAACAAAGAGAATCGCAGGTATGTGTCGTTTCACACCTGTGAATCCAGAAAAAAAAAATCCACGAACACGCGCCCGTTCGGAAATATAACCCCTGTCCCAAAAATAATAATCAGTTTGTGGACGTCATAAACGTCATAAAAAACAACAACCACCACTCCCTGCTGTAGTGCTGGCCTATCCACACGGTGTCCACACGGTGTCCACATGGTGTCCACACGGTGTCCACACGGTGTCCACACGGTGTCCACACGGTGCCCACACTGTCCCCTCACGGTTTCCATCACGCCTTGCCCCCCGTGCTTTGCTATGTGTGTGCGCCATCCGGGTGGCGCTTTGGGTCACAACTCGCATATCTCGCGATAGCCGAAGCATCAAAGGCGGTCATAGCAGACAGGGGGAAAGGAGGAGAGGTCGACAAGTAATAATAGTAACTTTTTTTTTTGCTTCGTTTTGTTGTCTTATGCACACTTGCACCCCCCACGGTTGCGTCACGTGCAACGCGCGTGCGGGATGCACAATTGCACGCCCGATGCACGCCCGCGCACGCGCGCGGGGCCAGGCAGGCGGGGCGCGAATAAGGGGCCGAGCCAAGCCATAGGCCAGCCACAGCCTCACCGCCCGCCCGCTGCTCGCGGCGAGAGAGGGTGACTGACGCTCTGACCCCGGCGCCGACGCCGTCTGCCGTCGCTAACGCCCCCCACACACGTAGAAGAGTGTACACACACGCTCCCCCACGCCGTCCGGCACAAGCGACAATAACATACCGACAACAATAACAGCAACAATAACAACGTGTGATGCAAAGGGAATGCATAGAAAGTTCAGCTCCGGTCAGGCAGGAGAAGCGTTGCACACACACACACACCTCCTCGATGCCTTACAACACAGCACACACACATACTCACAAACACTGGCAAACACGCACACACTGACGCCTACTCACACCTGCGGGGTGAGGAGAGAGAGAGGGAGAGAGAGACAGAGAGAGAGAGACAGAGAGAGAGAGAGAGAGAGAGAGAGAGAGAGAGAGAGAGAG